GATTTTAAAAACAAAGCATAAACAAATCGGTATTTTCTGGCCGTGAAATTGGGTATGTCACAGTTTGATACATAAAAGTGAATTTGATAAAAAGTTTAACATGTAAAAGAGTTTGATAAGTAGTTTGAAGTCATTTGTTTGATAAAACAGTTAAAAGTATAGTAAATCCATATGTTTGATAGTTATTAATCACATGTGATTGATATAATAAATATGATATTCAACAAGTATTCCCCCCCCCCCCCATAAAAGCATTTAAAATCATTTAAAAGGTTGATTAAGGGATATGAACTCACCTGTAGTGAGTGGTTTGGATGAAAGTGCTGGATAAGGTGTTATGTGTCAAGTGAAGACTTGAACACACACACACACACACACTGATCCTATTTAACATATAAAGACACATATATGTATCTAATTAGTGATTATAACACTAATTAAGCAAGTAAAGACACTCTAGAACATGGAAAACACTTTGATTCAAGTGTTATAAGATCTTAGGGTTGTATATAAGGGTTGTATGGCTTTGCTATTGAGTTCACGACCCAAGGACCAACTTTCCATGAGTTTACGGCCTAGGGTTTGCAGCCCTTATGGGTTTATGGCCGTCAACCCATGGTGTCTTGTACCAATTCGTTGTTTAGTGTCCTTAGCTCAAAGGAAAGGTGTTCTAGGCCAAGTTCCAAGCCTTAGGAAGGAATGTAGGGCAACTTTGCACCCTCTATTAGAGTTTACAGACAAGGAAGATTACCTTAGCCGTAAACTCCCTTGGTTGGTTGATTTTTGATGATTTCAAGCCCCTAAATCATAATACTAACTTATAAACATGAAAGGGTGGTAAGGACTTACAGTTTGAAGGCTATGAAAGGGAGTTTTCGGCCCAAAACACACAAGTGTTCTTGGTGTTCTTGAGGATCTTGAAGATCTTAGCATAAAAGATGGAATCGTGGGTGGATTTAAAGGTGAATCAAGTAGGAGTGATGTAATCAACACAAAGATGGAAGAGTTTGCTTACATTAGTGAAGATTGGAAGAAAACTTGAAGATCCTTGGGAGAGAATACTGAGTTCTCTAGCTACAAGTGTGAAGAATGAAAGGAAAATGACCAAAAGTCATATATATACAAGGGGTTCACGGCCACATGGAGTTTACGGCCGTAAACCCATGTGCATGTTCGTGAACTCCACTTTTGATGGTCTAAGGTTTGTTTGACAGGTTACAAGTTCAACTCACACACTCATTCACTTAATCCTTTGATGTATTAAAGTTCAGAATGCTCAAACAGACACCAAACGTGCTAAAAGTTAGCAGAAGTAAGTGTGACTAGATTGAAATGTAGGGTTTGCAAAAATATAAATTTCGGATTATCACAGTAAATGCCTCAACAACTGAAACGTTGCAAAGTAAAAGTATTCTTTTATTATGTAGGGTATATATATATATATATATATATATATATATATATATATATATATATATATGTATATAATATTCTGTTAGAATATTCCATATATTTTTTGAAAAAAACGGTATTTTTTGGAAAAAAATGAAAAAAAAAATGAAAAAAACGGAAAATTTTCATTTATTTTGCATTTTAAAAGTATTTTTTAATCTTCAAACTGGGTGATTAGGATTGCGTTTCACATGAACCTAACCATATATATATATATATATATATATATATATATATATATATATATATATATATATATATATATATATATATATATATATATATATATATATATATATATATATATATGTTTAAGTTCATTTGAGACCATGATAATTTTGTAAGACTCTGAGATCAAATGTAATTATAATGTAAAATAAATGGAAAAATCCAATTTTTTTTTTAATTATTATTTTCGAACTTTATTTAACTAAAATAAAATAAAAATAAAATAAAAAAAATTATCGTTTTTTTGAAAAATACGTGAAATATTTTTAATAGAATATTAAACTGTATATATTTTAATATGATTTTAGATTGTTTAGAATATTCTATTAGATTTGACAGATATGTAGAATAATCTACATATTCTAATAAAATATGTAAAAAAATGTATTTTTTTTTTTGTATTTTTTATTTTTATTTTTTTTGGTATTTTCTTTAATTTTTTTTGGAAAATATATCTTCCGAAAATAATATTGGAAAAAAAAAATTTCAAAAATTTTCAATTGTTTTTCATTTTAAAAATGTTTTTGTATTATCTAATAAATGAGTGATTAAAATTGTGTCTCACGGTCTAACAAAATTAGGCTGTCTTACATTAACCTAAACGTGTATATATATATATATATATATATATATATATATATATATATATATATATATATATATATATATATATATATATATATATATATATATATATATATATATTATATTTTTGATTGATTGATTGCAATAATTGTTTCAAACTAGAAGACGAAGACCCAACTAACAAATCATATATAAAGATAGTTAATATTTCTACAACTAACATTAGTTTGGACTATCTATAAATAAATAATAATTTGATCTTCACATAGCATCTGCACATCTAAATATAGAAATACCTACACATGCGTAATGCATTGATAGATTAAAAATATGCGTCTCGTATTTGAGCCGCCAAATTGGAATAGTAGTCTCTCCTAAAGAGTAAAAGTTAGTAGAAAAATGAAATAATGGTAGATAGTCAGTAGGACAAGTGAGCCGATAACTTTTTGCAAATATTTGACTATAAATAAGAAGCAAGGCCGACCCTAGAAGAGTAATAGAGTATGACCTACTGAAGTGAATTCCAGCATAACCTGTCTCTATAGGTTTGTTTTTCTTTTTAATTTCCCACGAGCTTTAGGTTTTTGTCATTAATTCTTTCTATGTTTAGGTTACATAAATGTCACAATACTCTTTACATTTGCAGGTTAATCATATCTATCGACAACATGGGTGCAGGTGGTAGGATGTCAAACGATCCATTTGATGGTAAAAAGATCCTAGAACGTGTGCCCGTTGATCCGCCGTTTTCATTAAGTGATTTAAAGAAAGCGATCCCTGCCCATTGCTTCAAGCGATCCGTCATACGTTCATCTTACTATGTCGTTCACGATCTGATAGTTGCCTACGTTTTCTACTTCCTTGCGAATACATATATTCCTTTTCTTCCAGCTCCTTTGGCTTACTTAGCTTGGCCGGTCTATTGGTTCTGTCAAGCAAGCATCCTCACGGGCTTATGGGTCATCGGCCATGAATGCGGTCACCATGCCTTTAGCGAATACCAATGGATTGATGACACTGTCGGCTTCATCCTCCACTCAGCTCTCATGACACCCTATTTCTCATGGAAATATAGCCATCGAAATCACCATGCCAACACAAATTCGCTCGATAATGATGAAGTTTACATTCCTAAACGCAAGTCTAAAGTCAGGTGGTACTCAAAACTTCTAAACAACCCACCTGGTCGAGTGTTCACTTTGGTTTTTAGGTTCACCCTAGGATTTCCTTTATACCTCTTAACTAATATTTCTGGCAAGAAATACGGAAGGTTTGCCAACCACTTTGATCCCATGAGTCCAATTTTCACGGAGCGTGAGCGAATCCAGGTCCTGTTATCAGATCTTGGTCTTCTTGCCATCTTTTATGCAATCAAGATTGCTGTAACAACAAAAGGAGCTGCTTGGGTAGCCTGTATATATGGAGTTCCAGTGGTAGGAGTGCATATGTTTTTTGTTATCATTACGTATTTGCACCACACTCATCTGTCTTTGCCCCATTATGACTCAAGTGAATGGAACTGGATCAGAGGGGCATTGTCAACAATTGACAGGGATTTTGGATTCCTGAATAGGGTTTTCCATGACGTTACACACACTCACGTATTGCATCATCTGATTTCGTACATTCCACATTATCATGCAAAGGAGGCAAGGGATGCTATCATTCCAGTTTTAGGTGAGTACTATAAGATCGATAGGACTCCAATCTTTAAAGCAATGTGGAGAGAGGCTAAGGAATGCATCTATATCGAGCGTGACGAAGATAACAAACACACTGGTGTATTTTGGTACCATAAAATGTGACCGATTGCTGATATCATTTTACTTTCTAAATTACTGTATGTACCGTATGTTGGAAAACATTCCAATTATATACGTCGACGGGCCATTTGTAATACAAAATAAGTTCATAGTTTACTATTTATATCCAGAGTTGTTATTAAATGATTATTCAAAAATTTTAAAATCGTTATCCCAATCGTTTTTACCAACATACACATATATATGGATCCCGGTCTTATATTTTAGACTGTACTGAGTTAATTATTATCACAAAAATGAATATTACATTTGCATACATCTTGTAATTATTATTATCACGCACTCATGATAAATAATTTGTTTACACATACATCCGTCTCATACTTTTATTTCAGTTGACGATTTGTTACGCAATATATACTTAATAAAAATTATTTTTCTTTGATAATGTATAATATATAATATTTTGTAAAATTATAAATATACTTTTTATATCGTTTTACTTTTATCTTCAATTTTATATATTTTTGTCATAGTCTAATATATTCAACATATTTTATATTTTGGTTCTCAAAATCTCTCATTATTGGAAGGTAGATTTTATAAGCACATAAATAATAATATTACACCAAATATAGAAAAAACATCATAAATGGTCACTGTGTTTTTCTAAATTCTGAAGTTTAGTCCCCATGGTTTAAAAATCTCATAAATGGTCCCTGTGCTTTCAAAACTTTTGACATGTGGTACTTATTGCTAACTCCGTTAACTGAAGAACATTTTAGTTATTTCACAACACAGGGACCATTTATTATCTTTTTAGTTATTTTTTTAAAAAAAGAAAAAACTAAATATAATTATTTAATATATAATCTCTCTCTCTCTCTCTCTCTCTCTCTCTCTCTCTCTCTCTCTTAGCTCGTGTCCAACAAGAAAAAAATCGTCCAAACTGCCACTGGTGAAGAATCACTCTCAACCACGGTAAACCACCAAGAAACACCACTGCCAGCACCCATTTTCCCACCTTATACCTCCGAAAATCAGCAACCTAAGCCCCATTTCCCTGTTGCGACCCACTGCTGCTCTTCTTCCCTTCGCTTTATCGCTACCAACAACTAGAACAAGACCCACAAAGGGTCGTCAGAAAAGAGAGATTGCTCCACTCGTTTTGCGACAGCCCAACCATCCACCACACCTTCTGCAACTTCTTTTTCCTTATTTGACCTACAACTTAAACTACACATACATAAATACAATTAAACTTGAAAAACACCAAATTTACACCAAAATTTGAGTCCAAACACATTCTGCAACTTCTTTTTCCTTTTTTTTCCTTATTTGACCTCCCATGGAGAGTCCAAACTCATATGTGGAGTCACCGGAGCACCAGAATCACAAGACCCCCAACATATAAAGACAACTGAATGAACAGTGAGAGATAAACATCTGCATACAAATCAATTTATGGTAGGATAAACACCCACACACTAACTCAAATTGATTTACGGAAACAAAAACAAACATGATTTTAGTTTTTTATTCGAATTTAGGATTTTGATTCTTAAGTTACCATTGAGAATAAAGATCACAAATGATTTCCATTGAGTTTATATTGAGGAAGAAGAACCAGAATGTGCTGGTTGTGACCGGAAAACCGAGATGGGAGGAAGTGGAGTTATAAGTACCAGAATCTGAAGATGTGTTCATCCAAGAATCAAATGAGTGCTTGTTCATAATGAAATCGAAGGTAGATCCTAACCGGATGAATTCGAATAGCCCTAGAAATTGTAAGTGGTTCCTGATGAAATTGATCGAGGAGATCGGTCGACCTTCTTTTCCACCATGATACCATAAAATACCCTAAATGGGAGTGTCAAATTGAATGTCCAAAAAATCCAACTGTAAGCGTCACTATGTATCGTAATTTGGTTTCTAGTTTCGATTTGGGTGAACCACAGAGCCATTAGCATCTGATCGCAACGTTTGCAAATGGGTGTTGGAGCTTGGCACTAACGCGTCCATGGCCATGGTTACTGATGTGCTGGCGGATCCGGTGGCAAGGTTCGAGGTCTGGTTTTCTAGCCATGGAACCAGGTCATCAGCGTAGAACTCCATTTGGGATTTTCCGTAGGGGAGGAAGGTGACTTGGTTGACTATTTCCTCAAGAGAGGGAAACAAAGGAGGGGGAAGCAGGTGTTAGAGAGAGATAGAGATAGAGATAGAGAGAGAGAGAGAGAGACCCCTTTGTAAATAAGAGAAAAACTTCATAAATTATCCATGTGGTGTGAAATGATGAAAATGCCCTTCAGTTAACGGATAAAACTTAATGGAGTTAGCAATAAGGACTATCTGTCAAAAATTTTGAAAGCACATGGACAATTTATGAGATTTTTAAACCACGACGACTAAACTTCAGATTCTGGAAAAACACAGGGACCATTTATGATGTTTTTTCCCAAATATATAATAGATATTAATTTGCAACCTTAGTAGATGGAATAATTTATAATAACTTCATAATCTATATCTAGCTAGCAAAATATTGTCAAAACTTAAGGATGTTACAAGTTCAACCTCTTTAGAATAGATTTCGTTCTCGAAATTAGACTAACTAGATAATTGAGTGTGATGTTACCTTATTCTATTCATGTGTTCCAATATCATATCAAGTACCTTATGATGCCACCATCGGGATTTTGAGTAATAAGACAATTTTTTTATTATTTTTTATTATTTTGCCTTATTTCTTAAGTTCTTTATATAATTGTAATCTAATCAATTCTTAACTGGATCTCCTGATTCTATTTGTCCCACCTATTCTTCCATCCAAAAATCGTTCCTAAAAAATAGAAATTTAAATTAGAAAATATTCAGTTATCCCAATAAATCAGCAAAATATTAGGCAATAAATCAGAAAATGTAATCTTATAAAAAAATAATAAATAAAGGATGACCTAATTACTTATGTTCTTATATACCTCAATAATTCTCTAATTTGTACATTCTTTGTATTTACTTTTTGGCATCCATAAGGTAGCAACCTGCACTCTGTTTCTGCATCGGTTTCAATATTTATTCTTTTGATACATTTGAAGATTTTTGGCTTTCTGCCATCGGTTTCAATGCTTTTCTTCTAACTTTTTTTTTGACACACTTGAAGGGCACTCTCTTTAAAAGTACATTTCTGTTTCAGTTAGCTTTTAAAATAAAATAAATGGTCCTTGTATAAATAATTTTGACTATGTATGTGATTATATATGTGACTGTGTATGAGACAATGTGTGTGTATATATGTATTTGAATGTGTGTGTGAGTTGACCTATATGTATCAGATTGTGTATGTCTAGGTGTCTATTTTGTTCAATAAAAAGATTGAAGCTATAAAAATCAAATAAATGAAAGTGCATTGCTATTTGATGCACATATTACCTTTTATGATTGTGTGTGTTTATGTGTATGTATATGATTGTGT